GTAAATGGATCTAGTAGTGTATTTTGAAGTTTGTATCATCTATAAACTCCTGTTTTGGCCAAGAATTGTTTTATTTTTTGGATTTATTTTTCACTTATGAATCTTGTAATGGTGAAATTATTTTAATGGGCAATAATGTTGTTTGTGATGTTGTTGGTAAGGATACAACTTGAATTAAAATGCATGATGGTATTGTGAGGATGCCCCATAATGTGAGACATATATTCTTCATCTGAAAAAGAACCTCATCTCTTTGGCCACCTGGAAGCTATTGGGTGCAAATACACAGGTGAAAATGGCATTTTGAAGGAATCTAAAGGTGTTCTGATTGTTATGACAACTTGTAGGTCTGATAGTTTGTATGTTTTGTAGGGATCTACTGTCATAGGTTCAGTTGCAGTTTTGTCACCATCTTTATCTGATTCCAACATTATCAAATTATGGCATATGCGTTTGAAACATATGAGTGAGAAAGGATTGGACATACTGAGCAAAAGGAAACTTCTTTGTGGTCAGAGTACTGAAAGTCAGTTTTAGTTCACCAGCAATTTATAAGATGAAAGGTACCATTGATTATATTCATTCAGATTTATGGGATCTAACTGGTGCTCCGTTCAAGAGTGGTGCCAGGTATATGTTGACCTTCATTGATAATTATTCAAGAAAAGTTTTGATTTATTTTCTTAAATATAAGAATGATATTTATCTCACTTTCAAATAATGGAAAGTTTTAATTAAAAAACAGATAGATAGATAGATCAAACGGTTTAGAATAGATAATGGCATGAAATTTTGTAAAGGTAAATTTGATGAATTTTCCAAGAATGAAGGAATTATTTGGCACCGCACTATTACAATGATACCTTAACAAAATGGTGTGATCGAATGTATGAATAAAATACTTTTGGAGAGAATAAGGTGCATGATCTCTAATGCAGGGTTGACAAAGAACTTTTGGACAAAGGCAATATCTATAGTTTGTTACATTATCAACCATGCTCCTCTGCAACCCTTGATTTTAAAAGTTCCAAAAAAGTTTGGTTAGGTACTCCTGTTGATTATTTTGATTTAAAAGTTTTTGGATGTCTAGCATACATGCATGTGAATGATGAAAATTTGGAATGTCGAGCTAAAAAGTGTATTTTCTTGGGGTATGTTTTTGGTGAAAAGGTACACGTTGTGGTCTCCTAATTCCAAATTTTCAAAATTTATAATTAGTAGAAATGTTACTTTTTATGAATCTTCTATATTATCTTCCAAGAAGGCGTCTTCTAATTCTTGTCATGCAAATGACGATATGCAAAATGAGGTGGAGTTTGAGATTGGCAGTTTTGATCCTTTTATTTAACAAATGCCAATAGATGCACCTGAATCTACTGATAAAAATAATTCAAAAGAGGAGCAATATTCCATAGTTAGAGATAGATCAAGGAGAGACATTCAACCACTACAAAGATATGTAGATTTGATTGCATATACTTTGTCTGTTACAAAAAAAAAACCTATGGAGTTAGTGAATCTATTACATATACAGACGCTGTTTATTGTGATGATTCTACTAATTTGCTGATTGCGATGAATGAAAAAAATAAATTTCTCCACTGAAATGAAATTTGGATTCTAGTGAAGTCACCTTTAGATAAGAAAATTGTTCGATGCAAATGATTTTTCAAGAAAAAAGGGTAAACAATAAAAACGTCTCTTCTGATATAGGTATCTTACAGAAAAGCTCATTGTGATTTTAAATCATATGTGTTGGTGCCTCATGATTTGAAGTAATTTGAAACATTGACGGAGATTATTAAAACAAACAATTTTGAGTGAAATGATAGAAATGCCCTAATAATATAAGCAAAAAATAGCCTAAAACAAATAGTTTTTGATTCATTAATTTCATTTACTAATAATATAAGCAAAAAAAATCAATTTCTACAAGTTTGGAGCAAATTTGAAGAAGAATCATGGTTGTTTTATTAAGGCATGAGGGCAAAATAGGTTTTTTGGGTCAAAATTTGCCTTAAAAAATTATTTTTTGGAAGAACCATGTGCATTTCTAGCGTGTTTACATCAAACACATTAAATTTATCGATTTTCATTGATTTTTCACTTGACTTCAAACCATGAGGTACCGATGTGTATGATTTGAAACTATAGGGGGCTTTTCTATAAATTAACTATATTACAGGGGACTTTTTTGTTGTTTATCCAAGAAAAAAAGAAGGTATTTCAGAGGTTGACAATGCAAGGTATAAAGTACGGTTGGTTGCAAAGAGCTATAGTCACACACAAGGTATTAATTTTAATGATATATTTTGACCAGTTGTCAAGTATAGTTCTATTTGTGTTTTACTTGCTTTAGTTGCCATGCATAATTCGGAGTTGAAACAGTTTGATATTAAATGATAGGGCATATTTTGTATTACATTTATATGTATAAGTTGCTAATTAATTATATTATTTGAACTTTATTTTGAATAGAAGGTGTTCAATTTTGCTTTTATATTGTTATAATAAGTAAAAAGTTCAATTAGAGAAAATGAACTAAAAATGTGGCATGAAGAACGACATCAGTTCACTAGAACCAGTGAAGCCAGCTGACCCTCACGTGATCCAGATCGGACAATTTGTAGTGGAACAATGCCACCACGGCCAGCTGCTTTTCGTCGCCGTGGTTGGGGGATTCACGTGGAGCGGTGATGGAGGTTATTACTACGCACTTATCGTTGAAAATCAGGATAGCGACGGTGCCACATATCTCCATAAAGCCCTTGTTCTTGAGACCCCAAGTGAAACCAAACTCATCTGGCACAAGAAATAAGCAAGCACTGCTGTTGATCAACTGAGGATCAACGACTTTAAGTACTCTAATTATCCAGTGTCTTTGGTGTGGCTTTCAGTTTCTGCATGGATGATCCCTGCTGTTGTACTAGTATGTAAGGTGCAGTTCTACCAACAAAAATGCACCGTTAAATAAAAAACCCGTCTGTGTTTAGAGTTAAAAAAAAAAATGTGGCATGAAGAAGCAATGGAAGAACAAAACATGAAGAGAAAGGAGTTTGATAGGATTGACATGCTTCAGTATTTTGGAGGTAACTTGAGCTACACAAATTAGATTGAAATGATTCTTGATTCGTTTTGAAGTTAAGAGAATTCTCTACAACTTTTATGAGACATCAAAGTCCGGTTTTCACGTTTTCATAGCTAAATATCCAAATTACTGAAGTATAATTGCACTGCAATACTCTTACGATCAGGTCTCAATATTTTAGATATATCTCAGCGTCTAGACCTCCAAATGACTTGATTCTTATGGATTTGGAAAGCTACTTCTAAGGGCTATAATTTTTATGTTTTGAGTAAAAGCTGATTTGGCCTCATTGATGGAGATTTGTCACCTTGAATTTGATCCGCACATAGATCCGAAATGATCCGTCCGTGGATCTTTTACAACTTGTGCCGATGTTCACGCTAGAGTTCTTCTGGTCAAGTCATCTGATGAAACACTGGTGCCGGAGTTTTGGTCGAGTTTCTGTCAGTGTTTGCACTGGTGTTCATATGAAAAATGCACGAAATTGTCATTTTTTAGCTCCAATAAACCCAATCCTACCCAATTTCGGATACTACTTTAAGAAACTATAAATAGGGGATATCTAGGACGTTTTTAGGTATGGAAAACATTAGTTTAGATTAATTTTAACATCTTTTTATAGTTTATTCTTGAGAGATCAAGATCAAATAGAGGTGAATCAACGGAACGTGCAAGGAGAAGATTGGAGTAAGCAATTGAAAAGTTTTCTTACTCATGTTCTTATCTTTATAGTAACTCTTTGAATTTGTGGTTTTAATTTTCAAATCATGTCGAACTAAATTGTTTCTAGAATTAGGGTTTTTATGAAGAAATTTGATTAATTTTTCTAGTTTAATTTCTTGCCTTTTGTTATGATTTATTTATCTTAATTTAATTACGTGTTTATGTTTGGCCACTATAGACATGCTTTTAGGATTTGTATTGAACTGAGAAGGGATATACAATCGTGTATTAGATAGATAAACATACTCAATCTAATCACGAGAGTAGGTTAGGATTTGTATGACGCACTTATATCACCAAAGTTCTTAGAGGGTTTAATTGAATACTTGCGATCTCGAGAGAGCCTTAGGATTTAATTAGGCACATTCTAGATGTATGAGAAATAATATAAACTAGATAATTGATTCAAATTCTGGATTAAAACCTGAAACCCTAGACTTATGTCTATCGTTTTCTCACTACTACTTTGTTTATGTTGATTATTATTTTTTGCCTAATTAGAAAATATCACTCCTTAAATTTAACTTTGTTGCTTTGTTAGAATAATTAAAATAGAAAATTAACTCGTCCCTGTGAGTTCGACCCCTGGAATACTTCAAGTGATTTATTAGTACCATTAACCATGTGCGTTTGTAGAAAATCATCGATTAAGTTTTTGGCGCCGTTGCCGAGGATGATGTTTAATTTTCTTACTTTAGTTATTATTTGTATATATTCTTAATCTTTTGTTTGTATTTTCTTTGTTATTTTGTAGGAATCTATCTCCTTGGAGTTCAATAAATCAAGAAATTCAAACAAGTCCGAGATGGCAGTAGATAATAGAAATAATGTAGGACTTCATTTGAGAAACATCCAAATCCCAATAATTACAGCATTTCCTTATTGTATCCTATTGAGTGAAGGGGTCAGAAATTATGAGTTGAAGATGATTCACTTTACCATGCTTCCATCTTATCCTGGTCTTCCTAATGATGATCCGCTCTCCTCCATTTGTGAATTCTATTCAGTGGTACAAACTTTTCCTTTGCATAGAATTACTAAGGATGATGTTTAAATGATGTGCTTCCTTTATTGTCTCAAGGATTGTGCAAAGTCATGGTTGTTAAATTTGTCAGAAGGGTCTCTTAGAATATGGGAAGATGTTTATAATATCTTTATGACAAAGTACTATTCACCTCAGATGACATTTGATTTGAGGAATGAGATTTGCACCTTAACTATAATGGAAGGGGAGCCAATTTATGAAGCTTGGGAGCAATTCAAGCTATTACTTGCTCAATGCCCTTATCATCAATATCCTTTGGCATTGCAAGTACAATTATTTTATGATGGCATGACATTTACAACACAAAATATGGTGGATATTGCAGCTGGAGGATATATTGGAGATAAAACCCCAGAAGAATTGGTTGCAATATATGAGTTGTTGTCTAATAATTCAAAACAAAAGGCAGCTTGGGGTAGAGGAGTAGCTGTTCATGGGATGAGTACATTAGTGGAATGGGGTTCACAAGTTGTTGAATTAAGTCGTCAAGTACAAGTGTTATTACATTGTATAACTCAACCACAAGACCCATATTCATATTGAAGTTATGGTGTCCAACAAGAGCATGACTCTAGCGCGTATAGTTTTGGATGGAACAATCACCCTAATCTCTCATGGAAGGATCCAAGAGTTGGACTTGCTAGACCATTGTAGACACCAAATTTTTTAGCATAATTTACTATTTATTTCTTAGTTTTTATTTGTCGTGTTAAGTTTTATTCACTTTTTAGTTTTTTAGTTTTTAAATTTTTTAGTTTCTAGCATAAAATTTCTCGAAAAAAAAGGGGAAAAAGAAGAAAAGAAAAAGAGGAAAATCTTAGCTTTTTATTTTTATCTTTTGGTTATTAATTTTGTACATTTTATTTAAGCTTAAGTTTGTTTGAATTATTTTTATTTTTATTGTGATTTAAAAAAAAAAAAAAAAAAAGAGGATACGCGACTTGCAAGCTGCGTTTTTTCGCAGCTTGCAAGAAAGGACCGGGCAGCCCCGTTAGTTGCAATTTTGGGAAAGATGGCTGAGGTTTTTAGGGTTGAGGGTCCCATATAAAAAGAAAACGCAGGAGGGGAGAGATGAGACGGCTGGAAAATCCGGAAAGGCCAAGAGAAAGAGACGGCTAAGGAAGAAACTGAAAACAAAAACGAGAGCTGAGGGTCTAAGTTTTTTTTTGGAAAGCTATAAACCTGAGGGATAGGAGTGTGACGGCTGCAAGTCTCGAAGAGAAAGAAAAAGGAAGACCAGAGAAAGGGGGCAGCCGAAAGGAGTAGAGAGGTTTTGGGAGCAAGCTGACGGTTGAAAAAACAGAAAAATGCAAGGGAGTCTGGGGAGTTGAGAGGGTCGGCTGTGAGAAGAGGCTAGGGTTTGGGAGAGAGGTTCTAGAGGAGAGAAAAGAGGCCAACAGAGGGAGGCTTTGAACCAGTAACAAAATAACGGATGGAGAGCTGAAAGTAGCCGTCGTTTGCCGTGACCCATTGCCATCGCCATCGAGATTTCGAGAAAAACACTGTAATGGATTCTTCCTCTCTCTTATCCTTAACATTTGCTAGCAAAAGGATGAAAATCAGAGTTATTAACTTGCTTGTTTTCTCCGATGTTTGCTTATGGGAAGAGTTCAGTTGGCTTGCTGCTGTTTCTTTACGTTTTGCTTGCATTTTACAAGACAAAGATGCTTCCTTTTCATTGTTTACCTGTATTTTGGGCGCAGCTTTTGCTTGATAATCTTGTCTCTTGGGATCAGATGACGTTGGGGGGTGGGATATGGTGCGCACAAGTCAGCTGCAGTGAGCTTGAGGCTTTTGGCTCATTGCAACTGTAGCCATTTCATTGTGGTTAAGTTGTAATTTTTGCATTTATGCTGTTTTGTTCGCTTTCCAGTAGCCTTATTGGATCTGCTGGGAGTAAATAGGTGCGCTTGTGTTTTTCCTAACAATGTTATTGAGGGAGTTTTGGGTTGAACGAAATTGCAGCAGATCCTCATGTTGCCTGCTGCATTTTGCCCCTGCTGCCTTTTTGTTATGGTGTCTTCATTCTCCTTGCTCCTGTTTGTTTATTTGTTCAAGTAGCTGTTTTCTCGGGTTTCGGTGGAGTTTTGTTGATTGCTCATAAGCCTGCTGTGTTTTAGAAGGGACGCAGTTTCCTTTTTGTTTGCAAAGGCCGAGAAGAAAAATGAACAGGGGAAAGTTGGAGCCATCTAACTTGTTTTTTCTGGTTTTGTTTGCTTTGGTTAAGAGCAATGCATCTGGTTTTAGGTTCTGTTAGTTGCACTGGTGTTGTTTTCCCGTTGCTCCCATTTCGTTTACTCCTGCACATGGTTCTGTCCAAAAGCTACACTTCACCCTCACACTTTGCTGCTTTCTTTTCTTCCTGTAACAGCTCACAAAAACTAGTTTTAATCTTCTTTTGCTAGCTTAATTTGATGTTCAATGGAAGAAATGGAATGATTTGGCGTTGGGTTTGTACGCTTAGGGGCTGAAATGCTTGAATCATGTTCGAATGCTTGATGAAAAGTAAATTCCAGGTTGATAAGCCACTGTCACACGAATGTTTTGTCCAGATTTTTTTGCACCAATTTCTGCTATGTTTTCTTGTTTGTTTGGATGACAGAGCCGAGTGTTTTTGTTGTTTAGTTTAAAAACTATGATCTTGGTTGAAAATTGTTGAGCAAGCTGCGTCCAGATTTTTGTTGTGGCCACCAAGAGCTTAAGAGCAAAGAGTTGCGGAAGCAACCTTGGCTGGAATTTGCAGAATGCATGAATTTCTTCGTGACCTTTTGCACCAGTTCTTTCTATGTTTCTTGTTTGTTTGGATGTCAAAGTCATGTCTTGTTTGTTTAGTTCAAAGTTTGGATGTTAGATCAAGAAAACTTCGGTTAAGTATGCGTTTGGAGTCTGAATTTGATATTGGAAAGTAAAAATACAGTAGTTTGGTTCATTCTGTTGCAAAAAAAACAGACATGGCTTCGGTTTTCCTGAAGCTTTATTTTGCATGAAAACTTTACATGATTTTCTTCCAAGCCATTTGCATCACGTAAGTAGAGTTTAGGCGTTGAGTTATTGTTAGTTCAAAGTCTTGTTTGATAAAGGTTTGTGAATGAAGTTTGCTAATGAGATTATCTGGGCTGTTAAAATTATTTTGGTATTGCAGAATTCCTCTGTGATTTGCATGATCTACATGAAAGTGCTTCCAAAGATTCCATTGTTAATAAGTGTTTAGCCATGTTGGTTGGATTTGACTCAAAATGTCATGAGAATCTTGTTTGCCGAAAGCTCATTTGGAGTTGCAGAGTTTTTTTTTTTTTGGGATGAAAACTATAGCAGAAATACAGAAGCAGAACCTGTTTTCCCGAGAAGCCTTCGTTTGCATGCATGAAAATCTTTTAAAAATTGCACTTTGGCCCTCCAAGTTCTCCCTTATGTCACTATGACCCAACCAATTGAATAATATCCTCAATTTGGTCCTTGGCAGCTTTAGTTTTTGCAATTTCATTGCTTGCTTTGCTTCAATTAACTACCATGCTTTGTCAAATTGCACTTAAACCATGACTTTAGGGGCTTTACGATCAAGTGAGCTTTGGATTTGCGTTTTTGTTTAATTTTTCTCAATTACAGTGGTACCTTGACCTTTTTATTGTTTTGAAGCCATTTTTTTCTTTCTTTCATTTGGACACCATTGCAAGGGAGGTATAACTTCTTTTATCTTTTTTATTCTCTTCTATGTGATCCAACGTGCTAAGTGAAAATTGCATGTCTACTTGCTTCCCTTGCCTTTCCTTAATTCCTTTCATTTATTTCATTTTTACTTTTGCTTTTTATTTAAGTTATTCTTTATGGGGTATGTGTACACCTCTTGGCTTGTAATAGATAGGGCTTGGAGGAGCATTTGATGAAAACCTATTGAAAACGTGTGCCTAGCTAGCCAATGTAATAGGTCCTTTAGCTTGATTGCTTGCTTTTGTTGCTATGTGTTAATTTGCTTTATTAGGTTCTTGCATCTAGTCGAGCATGCTAAGTGTTATGTGCTATGTGTTTATAAGTGTTTGGCATGTCTACTTGCTTTCTATAATCGTAGATGAATGTGATGGATGAATGTACGTCACCACACTAGTCCAATGCTAGTTGTGGCTCATTATTCCGTTAGAAATTCATAGAAAGGGCTAGTCCAACGCTAGACCCTTAGGGATTTCCCTTTCGTTAGTGCATACCTGCATGTTCATTACATTCCATGCATTTTTCTTAATTTTTATCATTTGGCATGCTCCTCCAATCCTTTTCCCCTCACTTTAGGCTTTTTGCATTCTCATGCTAGTTATAGGGTACATTTGCTTGAGAGTCCCCTTTCGATAAGGGAAACGAGCGAGTTTGGTTACCAAATAGCCTTAGCACGCTAGTTCTTCCTTCTAATCCAAGGAAAAATTAACGTCGTAAAGTTAGAAGTCCTTCCCATGCCCGACTTGATGCATTCCCTTAGGGTCATACACTTGCATTCTTTTTATATCACATCCACGCTCTTTTAGCCACATTTTCTCACTACTTAGACTTTTTCTCAATCTACACTTTCTCACCACTTTCTTCCTATCAATTATTTATTTTTCTACCTCACAAATGGCATTCAAATTGCACTTATACGTATCTAATATCCTATTTTCATTCATTTGCACACATAAACACCTTTATTTTCTCACACTTCCACATTTGCACTTGAGTCCTCACTTGCATTAATCACGACTTCCATGAGAGTTTTCCTTATTGGCCACCACAATTCATGTGGTTGGGACCTAAAAGCCTCATAAGAAACATTTTAGGCTTAGGATTGCATTTTTCTTTCCTTTTCGCGTCCATTAGTCATATCCAACATGCGATACATACCTTGGGTAGAAAAATTAGAAAAAATGGGGCTAAGTCACGCAACTAGCTTTGGCTAGGGTAAGGGAGTGCCTTAGGCTCCGCCTTTGCCTTCTCCCTTACCAAATGTGACATCCGATCCCTTTCTTTGGCTACGTAGACTTAAAAGTTTTTAAAAGGATTTATTTACTGTTTTTCGTTCAAAAACAAAAATCATTTTTGGGTGACTTGGTACACCCTAACTCTATACCAAGTGGCGACTCCATTCAAAAACCCTTTTTTGAACTTTGTTTGGCCAAACCGTCGCATTTCACAATCCCACGGCCTTTATTTTCACTTTCACACGTTCATACACATATCTCACACACACTACACACACACCATCAAAAAGTGGGGCGCGACAACTTGGCGA